TGTGTAAAACCCGTCAAAAGATAAAAAGATAAAATTGGTTGCAAAAATTCGCTCGCAAAATAAAATTATAACCCTACTATATAATTTATTTTTGACTTATTGTACAACCTATGTTATGACTCTATGCATGATTTATTTATAATACGGGGCATATGTATAAAGTGCCATTTTTTGAAATAATGGATCATGACACATCGATTTTTTGCAAAGAAATTTTAGTTATGTTAATATATCAAAATGAAAAATCAGAATACATATAAAAACAGGAAAAATTACATCGAAAAGTGGCATATCTTTAGAGAGTGGAAGCATGGGTGTAAGGTTTGTGACGAATGCAATCATCATTCACACCTATATTGCAAAACATGCAAAAAAGTAGCGAATGGAATATATAAGCGGTGTGAATGCGATAATTCTCGAATAATTAACGTTAGATAAAAGTAACCTGAATTAACGATTTGGTCGTTACATAATTTTCTATAATTTGTCACGTAACATTAACTTTAAAATGGTTAGAATAGTTCCGGATACGTATAAATTTATCTGTATCACCTTACAAGGCTTATCTTTATGCATAACTTATTTGTGTCAACTCATGAAACAAAAGTAGTACAACAGGAAAATCTGTGATAAATACCCATACTCCATTATTATCGTTGTTTTACAAACGTCTTTTTTTCAGCTCATAATGACAGAAAACCAAGCGTATGAATATTTTAATCGTAGGCACTCTGAGTGGAACATCCTGGGATTTTTAAACTTTTTTGATGTGGAGCCATTCGATATCAAGATAGACTATTATTTAAAATGCCTAGAGACAATGGTTAATCGTGAACAAGGTAACCGGCAGAAAAAAGCACAGGAGCTTATCGATAGATATAGAAATGCAAGTAGACTTTTTTTATTGGAACACAGGTGAAAAAAATGGCGTGGCTGAGACTTACTAGGTTGTCAGTCATTCAAGGCTATTAGCTGAGCCACAAGACCAGTGTTGGAGCACAGGGAACTTACTAGGTTGCTTGATGTCAAAAGGCTACTAGCTTAACCAACACTGGACCCACTGGATACAGGTGGCTTATTAGGTTGCCTGATATTCAGATGGGATTGAAAATACAGTAGGATAGTGAATTGGGCGTACTAAGAGTATTATTAACTTCCTGAATCTTCAATGCCAGGATCCTCGACCTGATCGTATAACGGCTAGACAATGGGAACAAGAGCGCTCACGAAAGCAAATTCATGTTCATCAACCGACATATACGGAAATTTCAAACACTGGAACGATCTATGGAGGGACAATCAACACCAAAACTTTCGGTGCGAGCACAAATATACTCAGAGAAGAACAAGGAGAGGTGTCTATTCACTTTTTTTTTTAACTAGAGGTTTGAAATCAGCAGAGCGAATAATTTTAAATTTAACACCTTAGGACAATTGTGGGGTTCAAACTCAAAGACGGGCAAAAAAGGTAACAACACTATCAAATATTAAATTTCTTTTGTTGCTTTTATTTGCAAACCTTTATGAATTTATTTTGTGTGCCCATTCAGAGAATATCATATTTTGAATCAGAAACCGATGACGAAGAATTTGAGGTATGAGATATATTGTTATATAATATACAGTGATCATGTGAAGGAGAGATGAATCCGACCGTGGATTTGTTTATTTATAGGAAGAGTGTGTGTTATTATTTGAGCCTTCGGAATTATCAACAATCCGAAAGATGGTCACAGAAACTGAAAAAATTTCAGATGGCTGGGAAGTTAAGCTATTGAAATGGCAACAACACAGCCTTAATCAATTAGATCATGGAATTCAGTACCCATCAAAGCGGAACATACACTGTATTCTTGTTGCTTCTTCAATCTTTTATTTTAAAAAAGAAAACGAGCAGGTATATAATGGCTTCCTAACAGCAGATGAGATTGCCGATATTCAATCACGCGTAATCTCAGAGTTCAGGATGATAAAAATTCCAAATGGAGTAAAGGAGTTTGTGCGAGAAAATAAAAAGGTTTGCGAATTAAGTTTTATATTATAATGTGTTCAAAATAAATCATTTTCATGGGTTATCATATTGTGTTTATTAGGATTATCAACAAGATAGTCTGGAAGAGATTGAAAGATTTCTAAAGCAATATGTCGGGAACCAATTCAGGGATAGGCTACTAAACAGAGCATTTTTTAGACTTTTGGAAGAATGTGTACTGTTGGATCCCTCAACAGACACGAATGAATTGACGGAGGGAACGTACATGATGGATTACATAGCACCGATGTTTAATAGAACAATACATTATTTTAATCATACAACCACGCATTCATGGTATGATATTTTATATTTAATTTTTTAGAAGCAAACCAATTAATACTTGTTATTTTTAGGATTGATGTGGCATCTAATGCATCTAAATTACGTCGAGGCCATCGTGGTCGAATACCAGATTACAAGCTGAATAATAAAAATGGAACTCGTTCAGCTGTATTTGGTGAAGTAACCAGCCCAAAACGTCAAAATGAAGAACCTAAAGTTTACTGGGACATCTACCGTGGTGCTATACATGCGAAAGATGCCATAGATTATGATATTAATCAGCGAAATATACAACCAGATGAGTCGAAACGAATCATAATATTTATTAATGGCTTTAAAATGACTGTGTGTGTTATGAAATTACATTCTTCCGGAATATATCTATTGGTTGAAGTGGCTTCATGTACTATTCCGAAAACTGCTAGGGATCTAGAGCAAATTATGATCCTTTATCAAATTTTAATGAGTATTCGGGTCAGTGTTTTCAATATCTCGATATTTGTAAACTTCATTCTAATTTAAAACTTGTAGGATGTTGCGGTAGATGTGTTGGGCGAGAGATCCTGTACTACACCACTTCAAGCAAATTATAAAGATTGGCTACGTCCAACTGCTAGTACACCCACCACACTTAAAACTGATTGACCTTTAACATAAAGTAAAAGTGGATAGTATATCTTTATTTTCGTTTATGTAATCCAGTCTTTTTTCTCTTGTTAAATTTTTACTAATAGATTTGAAATCAATAGAAATAGCATCTTTAGTAAGCCTCTAGGATAAGACTAGGGAGAACAATTAATTAATGTATTTCGGAAATAAGAGATGATCTATGTTGGTGGAATATTGTGTCATGTAAAGAATATCATTAATAATAATGATAACGTCAGGTGTGGGTCCAAAGAATAGGAATAATTATTCTCTTCCCATGCAACCCGTGAAATTTCTCATCATATATAATTGGAAAATAAAATTTTCACGTTACTACCAAATCTTTTTAATCTTGATGTAAATGCTAATATAGACGGTGAATACTGCACTCTTACGACATGCGTGCCATGCAGTACGCAAAGAAGTAAATGCTAAATTTTTTTTATGTATTGATGTGACGTAATTTCAAACTAATAAACTAATGAAGCTGGCCCAGTGGCTGATTTTGCATACATAATCGCGTTTACTTTTGCATGTGTATTTCGGGGTTTTATTACGTTGTATTGATATTGATGCGATCGAAAATTTTTCGACATTTTTTTTTGACGAACATTGTTCGCTGAAATTTCTTGGCATTTTTACTTATTGTATTTAATCCAGCGATTTTTGTTACA